GACAAATAATTACCATAACTGTAACTTTTATTATTCCATTAATAAATGAGTTTCTTGTTAAATATTATGATATATACTAATTATTTATTTCTTAATGTCTTATTTCATTCGAGAAATAATCTCACTAAATACCATTCGAGCTTTAAAATTGACCATATAATTTTTCATTCTGGCATGTTTTCCTTACAAATTTATGGAAAACATGCAATCGTGAAAAATTATCGGTAATTTCAAAGCACTCGTGGTATTACCCCCGAAAATTCTTCATTATTGACAGTGTTTTGTTGACATCTGCATCTGGTTCAGTTTTCATTTTCTTTGCTTCTCTGAGTCTCTTTAGTGGTTTTACAAAAAAATGCAAATAATAATTACGCTTATTTTTACAGTCTACATGTTTTATTTTATAAAAATATGGAATAAGCCGAGTGAACATTTTTGCCTTTTTTACTCTTATCTTTGGGTAACGAGATCGTTTTTAGACAATCTAGCCTGTATTTTGAAAAACATATTGTTTCTGAGAGAAAAACGCTTGAAAAGAAAAGATGAAGAACGAATAAAGCTTGGGACAAATCACATCAACATAGCATTATTTATTAACTTTTTTACAAACTTCTTTTTGGGTATTCCTTTTTTTTTCAAAAAAACAATGAGATTAAGTCAAAGTCACATAACTGACAATTTGCACAGACGAATTGTCAGAGCGAATTTTCATATATTGTATTATCCTACTATTGTTACACAATTTATTAACATACTCTTTTTTAGGTTCATTTAGGTTCTTTTGATAACGATAGCAGAAAATAGCTATCGAAACGCCAAGGTAATTTTTCAAATTAATTTCTCTACTAATTGGAATTTTCTCTTACAGCTTGAGCCTAAGTGTGTCGCAGGATACCCTCTAGGTGATAGTTCTTGATTACTTTTTGATAAATAATTCGTTCTTATTGCGAAATGGGAGCACTATTTATCAATCTGTAATTGTACGTACTTTCCTGACTGTGTTTCAATTCCAAACCAAAATCAAATCCTGGGTTCTTCAGTCATTCATTGTCTATTCATCAATTAAAAAAACGTTTCGGTGTTTTCCACCATCATCAGTTTCAATGTGTAGCGTTGTTGCTACTTTACGCCTTGGCATGTATTTCTGATGAAATACATGCCAAGAAAAACGTTTTTTTAATTGATAAATCTGTAATAAAAGACGTGAGGAAATTCTGTCTTTTTTAAAGACAAAAATTTTTGAGGCGAAATATCCAAAAAGAAGTTTGTAAAAAAATGAATCCGCCTCAACAATAAGAACTTATCTATTATTTATTAACTTAAAAAATATTCTATTTTCAGAAATTTTATGCCAAAATAAACTACTTAATAAATGTCCGTTCTATTTTTCTTTAAATTTTTCGCTTTACATGATTCGGCCGATTATTTTTTCTGGTGCTTTCAAGATTCTATCGAAACGGCTACTCAAACTCGGGCACAATCAACCTTATTAATGGAAGAATCAACTTTAATATTTTACTTTGCGTCTTTTAGATATCGCACTTTTTCTCTTTTTCTTCAAATTTGCTCAACAACCACAATACTTAAGCGATAAATACCAGGCAATCCCTGACAAAAACCCAAATCTTACGTGATTGGAAATATATTTTTAATGTAATTATATTATTGACAACTTTCACAAAGTGTCCTTTATTGAGAATTTCTTCTCCAGCTGTCCATTCAACACCCTAATTGTGAACCGGCATAGAAACCGAAGGAGCCGCACCAGCAGATACCACTCCTTTCCTCCACAGGGAAGTGATTGTCTTCGTTTCCGTATAGAAATTGAGCCCTTGCTTCCCATAAAAGTGAAGATCCCCTTGGAAACTTCCTCTAGAGCCGGTGAAACTGAACATTGGCAATGGTACCGGAATGGGAACATTGATGCCGATCTGTCCAACATCGACTTCATGCACGAATTGTCTCGCATGGTTCCCGCTGGTGGTGAAAATGGCTGTTCCATTTCCATATGGGTTGGCGTTTATTATCGAGATTGCTTCCTCCAGGGTATTGGCTGAAACCACTGAAAGCACCGGGCCGAAGATTTCTTCCTTATAACAGTCATTGCTAGGGAGGACTTCAGTGAGGATTGTGGGTCCCACGAAGTTTCCGTTGGGGTATTTTTCCACTTTAACATTGCGACCGTCTAAGGGGCATTTTGCGCCCTGCAATCAAGATGTAGGCTCATCAATAGCGCTGGTCAAAAGAAAGTTTTTTGCTTCGCACCTGCTTAATGCCGGCTTCAATCAAACCTAAAATCCTCTGCTTAGCTTGAGGTGAAATCACCGGGCCAACATCAGTTCCAGGTTCATGCCCAGCATTCACTTGGAGCTTTTTGGCTTTTTCCACCAGGTCGGGAAGCCATTTTTGCGCTTCGCCTACTAGAATGGCCACACTTAAGGCCATGCATCTGAAAAAAATATTTTCATTATTTGCGTTTTTGGGAAAATTGCCACTAATGCCTTTGTCCAGCTGCCCCGAAAGCTGCACCTGCAATGGCGTCCAACGCCGCATTTTTATCCGCATCAGGAAGCACGATGGCGTGATTTTTAGCCCCCATGTTGGACTGTATTCTTTTGCCACTTGCAGCTCCTCTTGAGTAGATATGTTTTCCTGCCCGGTCACCTCCAACGAAACTTATCGCTTTGATGTTGGGGTTGTCGCAGATGAAATTGACTGCATCATGGGTACCATGGATTACCTAAAATTCAGCATTATTGAGGATGTGGATGGCATTTTCTGAGTCCAAAGAAATGTTTTAAATTATTACATTTACTACGCCTGGTGGACATCCTACTTCATTAAGCAGCTCCATCAGCATCACCGTGGCGCCGGGGTCTCTTTCGGATGGTTTGATTAGCATGGTGTTTCCTGCGATTAGAGCCAAAGGGAACATCCACAATGGCACCATGGCAGGGAAGTTGAATGGGCAAATACCTGCAATAAACCACCGATGGAAGCTTTCCAACTTTTGACTCAAAAAACTGTATTTGCCTGCTGTAACTCCAATAGGCACTTTATAGGACGTGATATCCATGTCTTTCGAGATGCCTTGAAGGGATTCGCCCTGAAGCAAAGTGCCAGCGGCGCATGCATGCTCCACAACCTCTAAAATGGGGCACAGAGCCTGTATTAACTGGTTCAGCACGTTTGGGCATGTTTACTTACGAACTCCTCTCAAAACATCGCCATCGGCATCCGCCAGAGTCTTGCCCTGTTCCAAGGTGATATTAGCGGTAATTTTCTTCATATCTCTTCGGATTGCGGCCTGCAATTTTAGCATTAACTGCTGCCTGGTCAGTACTGAGGTGTTTTTCCATGAATCGTAAGCGTTTTGGCTTGATTGCACTGCAGCTTCCATTTCTGCAAGCGCGTGTACAGCGCAAAAAACATATAATTTGAGATACAAGATCAGCGTTTGCATAGGAAAACGCTTTTAGAAATTTGGTGTGGTCTTAATTGTAAACATGCATTTTTTACAAACTTCTTTTTGGGTATTTCGCCTCAAAAAATTTTGCCTTTAAAAAAGACAGAATTTCCTCACGTCTTTTATTACAGATTGATAAATAGTGCTCCTATTTCGCAATAA